TTGATGTTGTGCACGCATGATGATATTGCGACTTCTTAAAACAACTGTCAGAAGAGCGGAAATAATAATGGATGCTAATGTGAAAGGCTGAAACGATGACAGTATATTTGCCCGCACACTTCCTGAGCTGCTATAGTGTGGAAAAGCAGTTGCTTGGAAAGTTGTCATTATTTCCTGTTGTGTTGTTTAGAATAGACTCAGGTGTTACCATCAAGAGGAACTGTCGGTTTGTGGCAGTATAGCCCTTATTTTCTAGTGAACATGCGAATACAGTGGGAATTGTCTCCTGGCTGCTTTGGAAGTGACAGCTTTCAGCAGAATATTCAGACTTCTTCATTTAAATGTGGTATGCAGCTAAAGATTAAGAGCTAATCTCTCATTTCTAGCTGCACTTTTTTTTGCCAAGACTTTCTCAATTCATCAGTAACCTAATTTTTAAAAATACAAATACTGTGGCACAACCATGATCCAACGCCCCAGGACATGCTCACTTCATCCCCTAAGGACCTCCGCTGTTTTCAAACCACAAATGTGGAGAAGGAAAATTGCCCAAGTAACATGAATCTGAGATTAAGTCATATGAAAAACTGGTCCTTTGAAATGGGCAGGGACCTTCCTACAGCATTTAGTGGGCTTTGGATCAGGCATGTGGGACCACAAAGAGATTATAAGTGTTTTTTCAACCCTTCATTTCAGTTGTGGATGAGCAGCGGTGGGGCACTTTAGTGTGCCCCGTAGGCAGTGGCATGGCTGAGCTTGCTCTCCCTGCACAGCTTTTTTGCATCCCGGTTGGATTTTTTTCCCCCCCCGCCCCCCCCCCCCCCCCCCCAACTCTGTCCCCACTAGCATTGGCCAAAACTAAACTAACTTTTTGTTTCTGTCACGTCTTTGATTAACCTCAGTTGCTGACTGAGGTTAAACCACAACACATTTACAACCACCAATAACTAGTTTAGGTCGTCGTCGTTGTTGGTAGCACTATTTTAGTTTGTATTCCTTTCTTCTGCTCTTTTGTGTTTCATTTTTCTGAAGTATATGGGTTTGTCTTAATGTGACATCTCTGTGCAAACATATACATCTGAGGAAGGCAAAAGAGATTTATTGCATTTTGGCTAATACAGAGGAAAGGGGAAATTACCTACATAATGAAACAGGAGATTCAGTTTTAACTATGTCATTTCTCTCTTGTCTCCATAGTACTGAATACACAAATATAAAATATATAATCTACCTCCTCCTTCAAACATATCAACGTACAATTAAAACCCACAAAGCTTGACAACCTGTTGTCAAGTTGTTTAAGCAGTTGTTTCAGAATCTGACAGACAAACTTATAAACAAAACGTAGAGCACCAGATTGTGGGATGAGGCAGCATCATCACGTGGCTTCCTCAGTTATCTCAAAATTTGGAAAACAAAAAAATTAGAGGAATACTTTTTCTCCTTGAATAAATAACAGTTTAATTACATTATAGAAATAAAATATGATATGGTAGGAATACACTGGAAATCTTACAGAAATACTATTCTGCTACTGGTAGGTAAATGGTCAAAGCTACTTTTCATGACAATCTGAACAGTACTTGTGTACAAACTATTATACAGGTTGCTAATGAAAAATATTGCAGCAGTTGCAAGGATGTTACCAGCTCAAACAAACATCTAATGATACAATATTCTTCTAAGAGGAAGTAATAATGTTAGATTTACAGACAATAAAGAGTTATGTTCTTCACTTTGAAACACTGGAAATAAAAAGCTCAGGTAATCCAATTTCTTTACCTCGTATTATCACAAGGAAAGATTTTCCTTTCGCTATGAAACAGCATCCCAAGAGACCCTGTAAACAAGTTTATTCAAAGGTAGTATTTGAGATGTCACAGCAACTTCAACAATTGTCCTAGTCTACAATTACAGACTTTTTAGGCCACTGCTTGTACAGATGACTTTTTTTATTTTTCACTTATTTACATACATTCAGCCCAATAACAGCAGGTAAAATGCGCTGTCTATCTCACAATAGACACACTAAAATTTTCATCAAAAGGCCAGTGCAAGAAGATGTGGATAGTGATTGCACAGCATCAAGGAGATTATATTATACAAATATACAATTAGACTGTTGAGAATCTAACTCTGCACGCATGTGACATAGATGGCTTTCTCGGTAGATACGCGACACTTGGAGTTGGTACATATATGTAACTGCAACTGTCGTTGGTTGTGGATGACGGTGTGGGTGGCCGTGGAACACAGTATCATTTGGCTGTGCTATCGCTAAGTGAAGGTAGGCAACTGCAAATTAGGAATACCTAAAGCTGAAGTTTAAGTACAGCTTATCTTGGAACGGCAGCAGATTTTTCTAATGAAACTGTAGTTCTAATTAGTGCGCAATGTGTAGGGCAATTGTTGCCACCACTTTAATAAATGGTTTTGGTTCTAAGTGAACCGACACAGTTCCCAGAGCTTCAGAAAAACTCATTATGCAAATGAAGATACTGATGATAGACGGTAACATTTCACAGGATGCTATTTCTTATTATATCAGTAAGCACCAAGTTAAGTGCCAAGACAGCCCCATTGTCCCATGATTTATCATGTAAAATTTAGAACTTGAATGCACAACCAAAGTCCACGAAGTTTGCATTTAATTCACAAGAAGACAGTTTCAAAAATGGCTCTTAAAATACCTTTATATTTCAAATGGGCTTTCCCCCCGCCTCCTCCAAGAGGACTGCTTTAGGATGGGCTACACCTAGATATGAGAAAGGTCTTTCAGAAGGAGGACTTGCATGGCCTCCAGGAATCCTCTGCAATCCGCCGGTTTCGGCCGGCTGCTGCGGCCCCCTCGAGAGCGTGGTGCCCTGTCCTACCACCCAGGTAAGCTGCAGGGGAGGGGTGGAGGAGGAAAGTACCCCTGTGTCTTCCAGCTGCTGCTCAGCACCTCGCCTGATGAGCTCTTTAAAACGTGCCACCCCTCACCAAGCCTGAACTTGGAGCCACTTATGCCCCTGCAGAGCCACTGCCTGAAATCAGCTGGGCCGTTTATGCTACCGGCTGCTCTGGCCCGCACCGAGGTATCAGAAACACCACGGGGACACCATGGCAG